TCTCCATGTTAGCGCATGTATGACTCACACATCCGAGGTATAAATACACATGCGCAGACCCCACACACGTCACAACGCCAATAACGTGGTCGAGCTCAAGAAGTAAACGGTTGTGTCCACGTCCTCTCCGATATTTATCTTCATTGTGGGTACCAGGGAAGCGTAATCGGGCCAGGGTTAATTCAAACCTCAGCAAGAAGCAGTTGGATTACGCTATATATTTAGTGCTTAACATTTACCATTTTGAGTTTAGAAGTGCAAAATGTGGCACATTTGATAACCTACCGGATCTCTTTTTTGTTACAAATTGTTTGACGGCTACGCTTATGTGAAGTATACAAGACCCGCCTAGAAACCTAATTAGTCGAGAAGGTGATTAACTAAAAAGTAAAATTGCACAGCGATTGCAGAAGTCGTGAAAAAATAACCATAATTGCAATAATTACAGGCCACTGAAATGCATTGCAAGCAATGAGAGTTTTAATTAGTCTCTAATATAAAATTTCGTGATTCAAGATTTCGTAAACAGATATTAAGACCCATGAGTTTAGTAAAAAATGCAAGCAAAAAAGTGCCGTCGTTGAAAGCTGCTGTACAACAAACTATTGTCCTGCAATACTTGATTCAAGGAAGGCTAGCAACGCACCACTTCAAAGCTTTAGATAAACCAAACCTCTGTTACTAAGAAATCTCTTGATGGAGCCAAGAGTTGTCAGAGTTTGGACAAAATGCTTTGTTAAGAGACCGGTCTTAGGAGCATAAGGGTCAATTGCTCTCACCTCTGTTTAAATATTATCAAATTCTACTGGCATTATAATTTTAATGTGCATTCTATTTGCATTAATTTTTTTAAGGAGATTATTAAGATGGATGGTGTTTGTCGTTTCCCGGTATTACTCAGCAAAAGAATCTGGCAGTCGTTCCGTTTAGACGATGGAATACGGTAACTGCATTTGGGAAGACAGTTTAAGATAAGGGCCAGGATATTATTCCAAAACTACACGCAGAATTAAGTTTAATTGCAATGGGAAGGGTACCAACCAATATTATAATCTAATAAGCCAAATATGTTTTTTTGGTGTTAATAATATGATCAAAGCAATTAACAGTATCATTAAAGTACGCCAACTTTACCAGACTCATTTGGCAGTCGCCTGTTCATGGTTCATTAAATAATGGATCATGATAACGGCTAGTTGAATTTATTAGTCTTGTGATTATAATAATTTTACGTACTGAATTAGAGCCATATAAAGGACAAGTATAATAAGGGTTTAGCAGAATAAGTTTCCTCAAAGATTAAATTCTAACGGTTGTGCATTTAAATGCACAAGTACAAAGCAATAGTAAGTACGATGCAACTTCACTGAAAAGGAACTTTGAGGTAGCTTTTATAAGTAGGTAATACTAAACTACAACATCTGCAAAGCTTAAGATCGTGAGTATTTGTAATAAGTTATGTGTAGCTCAAGACGTCCAATCCTCCAAATTCACATTTTTTATTAACTTTCCGAATTAAACTATATTACTTTTACATCTGCTTTAATTGTTTAGGTATGTTTTAAATGAGAAGAACTTAATGGAATTTGAAGGGTCGTCATCAAAGATTTTGAAAATACGAGTAACAATATCAAATGGATGTTCATTAAACAAAACTTAATTTGTGCAAAAATAGAGTAAATTAATTTAATAAACTTTTTTGAACACAAATGTACACTACGAAACCCTAAAACTCATTGCTCCCTAGTTTTAAAGGCGCATTTTGAACCCGCAGATTTAGATTATTGGCTATGGAGCGTCATTTGGCGGCTGTTCCCCGGTCAAGTATTCTTTGCAAAAATAATTGTGGATACTATGGCAATCCTTCTTGGGACAACTACTGTTCTAGGTGCTACCGAGAAGCCCTCCGAAAAACGCAGAGGACCCAATCGGCATCACATTCGTTGTCGAGAGCTTCATCTCGAGCATTTTCGAATTTCGAAGCTAAACGGAATAAGGTTGCCAGGAAGAGTTCCAGTACCGTAAGAAATATTCTAAAGATTGTAAAAGGTAAGTCACGGTTTTGCTACGCTTTTGATTGCTTAGATCAATATGAACCTGGATCCCGCGTTCACGAGGAATCTGTCCAAGCCAGGGAGGAATTCTTTAAACTTTTAAAAACATGGCGTTCGGCACCGGCGAATGATGTATCGAGACAAGTTTGGTTCAGTTCTTTTATTGATTACTGTTATAGATTACTAAACTTTTAAAGGATATCAATGAAGCAGATTCCGCTGACATCATCAAATTTTCCAATTCTATTAAGGATTTTTACAACCATATTGCTCATCGTATTTACGATAGTAGTTTGTACCAAGTAAGTTGACTTGGTAAATTCAAGCCGCTCAACTCACTGTGTCATAGCATGTGTGGTAATTGTTTGATACTTCCTTAGGACGCCTCTACCGAACAGAAGGAGAATCTCATTAACGCAATCGAACGTTTTCTGTCGGTGTGGATATACCCCTGGGCCTTCACCCCAGCAAATACTGATGACGAGGAGGTTGACTTGAAGCTTCAGGATCGGATTCGATCACTACATTGGGTTTCACACAAGCATCTGGATGCCCCCATCGATCCCACGTCCCCAGAGCAATCGCGTCATCTCGAGTCGGCCATTCTCCGTAGGTTGAAGATTTTGTTTGACTTATAACTCGTCAATTTGTGAACGTAAAACGTGCAAAAATGTTCGCGGCTCCAAAGTTCAGCATTCGTTTATTTGTGCGGTAAAGGCCCTTTTGCAGTCGTTTAGCTGATAAATTGAATGGCTGTGGTGTCAGAATTTTGTGACCCTGTCAAGTCGTACTAGCATGACCTCGACAACGCTTGCTTGTTGTTTTACACCCTGTCAGAGCTTGTATTGAATTGCATTTATTGCTCATCCCCTACTGCACGTGTAGATTTGATCCGACAAAATGAGGTCCAAGCTACCGAGGCAAAGCTTGATCAGATTGTCGATTGCTGCCGCGAAGTCTTCAAAGCCCTGCGGCTGAATACGGAGGCCGCAGTGTCAAAGTCGACATCGACTGCCAGTAATCCAGCGAATGCCGACTCCTTCCTGCCCGTCCTTATTTGGGTTGTGCTACGCGCAAATCCACCGCTTCTTCATTCCAATCTTCAATTTATTATGCGTTTCGCAAGTGATACACGGCTGAATACCGGGGAAGCCGCTTATTGCTTCACAAACTTGGTAAGCAGGCAAAAGAACTTTTAAATCACGTGCGTCCAATTCGTGTGTGTGTGGGGGCTGAAAACGGTGGTATTCGTTCACCTGTAGCCGAGTGTTACGCAGATCGAATGACTCGACCGGCTTTAGGATTGGCGCGCTTTTGTGAAGATTCGATGCGCAGAATTAGAAGCGAACTCCCTGATTCCTCTCTCTCTTTCAGTGCTGTGCCGTGGAGTTCATTAAGAACCTCACCTACACCAATCTGGGCTTGACAAAAGAGGAATACGAGACGCAGATGCGGGAGGGTGTTTCCGTCACACTCTGTCCCGTTGACATTCCCGACGCGCTCTCGCAAAGCGAACGACGCTACAGTGCAATCAGCCAAAAGTAAGTTCACACTCACACAGACACACAATTAAATCGACTTGCCTTAATGCCCTTAGCGAAGTGTGGGTTCAATCAGAATAAGCTATTCTCCGGTGTCAGTCCACTCGTGTGTTGTAGTGCTTGTCTATCCGTTGTGCTCACGAGGTCGTGTTTAAATCACACTCGTGCACAGGAGAGACACGGTCGACGGATTCTGTTAAACGACTAGATTTTGGCTGAATTAGTCGGCCTTGTTTACGCTAAAGGTCCATCCGCCAAACATTGTTTACAGCTGAAGGTCTCACCGAGCGAGGCAAATATTGCAGTAGCTTAATTCGGCTTAGCACCTCCCCTGGTACGTCACGTGATCTAGAGGTGCTGGTCGCGGTCATAAGCCCGAAATACCGTGGTTGTTCACGCTCGTTTTACGCTGACGCTAGTGCTTCATCGTCTGTGACCTAATTGGATTCGCAGCCTGTGCTATAAGCACCCACCTGACTTTATGGACCGTCTTGATGTGTGTGTGTGCTGCGGTGGGATTTGGGGATGCACAAGCTCCTCATTATCACCTTATTGATTATTCCTTCTGTTTGCGGTCACCTTTTCAGATTGAAGTGCGACTTTTCCGTTGCTACCCTGCTCAAAGCATATATATTTCTCTCTTAGTTTTGGTTGTTGAACTTCGTGCACTTTTGTCTTATCTAAGCCCCCTAGTTCTTGTGTCAAATGATCACCCTATATCTGCTCGCTAGAGTGTGTGTGTGCTTGTGTGAAACAGGCGAAGTTTACGTGTCACGCGTTTGTTGAATGCAATCTACCTTGAATTTCGTCATCGTTTGTTTCCAGTAAGGCCAAACCCTCGTTTTTTTTTATTGCCACAGCGTCTAATTTCGTGTGTTGGAAATCGAAAAGCTACGATAATACCGGAAATTCAAAGTCATTGGAGGAGGTGGGTCTTTGTAATGCCGATCGCGATCACGCTTTCTCCTTTGACGTTTTGCCATTTTTTGCTTCTGATCGGCATTTCTGTCTCTCTTCATTGGTCCCCGCCTTCTCACGCTTCCAAAACTGTTCAATAAACGCACACACAACGCGTAGCAGGCGGATTAACGCCTGTTCCTATCTGGTTCTTTTGTCCTCGCATCACCCGTTTCTCAGGTTTTCGGTACCAAGGGGTACAAGGTTTATGCTTCAGCATTGTACGAACGAATGGGATTTGACTCCCTCCCTTGGCCTTGAGATGGTGATGTTTCTCAATTTCAATACGACCGAAACCATCACGCTGATTGTTATTGTCGTTGACGTGACAATTTGCTCGGCAACAGGGCCCTCGATGTTCAAGCCTAAATCAATTCCAACAGTTTTTTCGTCAATTGAAGGTACTCCGCCCGGTGACAGGTCGTGTTCCAGTGCCATCTTGTTCTCTGCCAACGTTAACGCTAAATTAGCAGGCAGCGATTTTGGGCGGTCAGTCAATCAGTCAGTCGCGCGTCGTTGTAACTTTCTTTTGGTGAAACCCAACATCGAACTGTTTTACCACAATTCGATTCCCGTCTTGTTAAAAGTCAGTTGAATTCCAATCAACTCATCTATGTTGCGGCAATTAAATCCCAGTTAGAATGTCATCTGGGAGTATGGCATTCAGCGCTTTTCAAAGCATGTCATCAGTGTTCGTCCGAGTGCTTCCAGATCATTGAACCACTCTTCCACCTCGCATTCAAGTCTAAGGAGTGCCTAGCATCGGAACTCTGCTACATCATCGAATGACCCATGGACCGTCAGTATGTGAGTCATGTTTCCTCTCATTCCATAGTGGATCGTGGACATTTTCGTTGATTAGTGCATCATTACCTTGAAGTCGGCCTAGCAAATCTGGTCTCGACGATGTGAATCGGGTCTTGCGGTATTCCACTCAGTTTTCGTCTTCTACCAACTGGTCGACAGTTGTAAATGGGTCAGCCGACCATCGTTTTGGAGGACGACTGCTGGTTCCTCTTTCTGTGTTGTTCACATGGCTTCAAATCACGCTGGAGCCGTCTTCCGTTTTAATCACGACACTGGAAGCAGAATCTGTACCCGTTTCTTACCGATCGCATGCACTGGCAACCTCATCCTTAGCAGTTCATCGTCGGCATATTTCGTCCACGAACCCTCGTGATGGAGAACGCCAAAGGCTCAGGGCGCATGTGGCACACTTCTGCCTCTGCTGAGCGACCATGTCGGTGCAGAAGTTGTCGCGAGGCCGCTACT